CATGTACGTATATAACTTGATATCGCTCTGTACTTTAGATATACATGTACGTATATAACTTGATATCGCTCTGTACTTTAGATATACATGTACGTATATAACATGATATCGCTCTGTACTTCAGATATACAGCATGTACGTATATAACTTGATATCGCTCTGTACTTTAGATATACATGTACGTATATAACTTGATATCGCTCTGTACTTTAGATATACATCATGTACGTATATAACTTGATATCGCTCTGTACTTTCGGAATGCATTTGAAAGAAAACGGACATGTCGATATCTACAAACACATTCCGGGTCATACATGCTCTGAAGCCAAGTACATTCGTATGCAGTCTAAATGATAAACGACAAAAATCAAGAACGCCCCGTCATCGTTACAGAGCCTCAAAGCCCGACACTTGGTACATTTCCGTGTATAGTCGTGATTATCGTCACCTGATATGTGATCCTCATTGTACTTGATTAAGACGGGCGTCACATTGGGGTGAGGTGAACATATACGCCGCAACACTTTAACATACAAACTGTATTTATCTCACGAATCTCTATTATTTATAAGTCGCATCAACCTCGGACAAGTGTTCATTCTGAGCCATACTCCACAATGCTAAAATTCATCAGTTATATCACATTCATATATGCTGTGTTTTTGGTGACAGAGGTGTCGGCTGCTGAACGCGTGCTACGAAGAACAGGGGACCAGCCAAGCCTAGGGAACTGTCTGTCGTTTACCTTTGGAGGGATCAGTCGTCTTCACTGGTACAGCTGCTGTAATAACTGTAAAAATGACGTAAACAGCACGTGCCCAAGCACGTACCAGTCGGCGTCCAAAGAACAGTACTGCGATAAATGTGGGCGGGACACCAAGAAAGGAAACGGTAAACCGCGATCCGATGGTCAACCGTTTAACTGTGGAGGATGTAAAGGTCAAGCCAACGTGGATAAAAAATGTAGGTCATGGTGGAAGAAAATTCCAGGGTTTTGCTGGGCCTATTCCTTGTGCTTTAAGCAGCAATGTGAAGGTAAATACAAGAATTGCGGTAACAGAGTGTGTGATGTTGGAGAAACCAAAGAAAACTGTCCGATAGATTGCTGTGACTTGAAAAACAATCCGTGCTGCGGTGAACCCGGATGCTGTGCCAAAATCTCGAAGGGAGAGAGAGTGCTTCTATCCTACTTTTTGCATATTATAGCTGTGGTGGTATTGACCTTCATTTTCAACTAATACGCTAGTACAGAAAATTCAAGTTTAAAACTTGTTGACAATGTGTTCTCAAAAACTCATTTGATCTTGGGCTTAACGCTGTAATGGTAAAGATGAAATGCCTTTATATTGTTTAGATTTGTCTTGAACGGGACGCATAATGGTTTCGCGTTGTGGCAGGCTGGGCGTCAGTTTTGTCCAGACCATAACTTCCCTACTATTCTACATACGTTTACCAAATATAGCATTTTTTCCGTGTTGCGGCGTCCGTCCGTCGTCAATTTTTTACTTTTAATAACTTCTACTGAATATCAACCTACGGTGATGATATTTGGCAAGTAGCATGCTGGGATGAAGCCATGAATGACTATCAAGTTTGTTAAAACGAATGAGCTTCGCCAATTTTCAAGGTAACAGGGGTCAAATATGTTGAAATCTTTTAACAAATTCTTATGAATTACCAGAAAGCCCAAGATGATGATATTTGGCCAATCACATACTCGCATGAATGGCTACCAAGTTTGCTCAAATGAAAGACCTTGGCAGGGTAAATTATCTTAGAAAAAACTTTCAAATAATTTTGGCCAGTAATATGCTGACATAAAGGACTATCAGTACCTAGTTTTTTAAAATGAATGTCCTTGACTCATATTCAAGGTGACAGGGGTCAAATATATTTGAAATCTATAAACAACTTCTTCTGAATAATCATAAGGCCCAGAATGTTGATATTTTGCCAATAAGATACTGGGATGAAGGGATATCAAGTTTGTTCAATTCAATGATCTTGATTTTTATTCAAGGTCACCAGGATCAAATATATTAAATCTTTAATCAACTTCTGAATAACCAGAAGGGCCAGGATGATATTTTGCCAGTAGCATGTGGGCATGAAGGGCTACCAAGTTTGTTCAAATGAATGACTTTTGCCGATATTCAAGGTCACAGGGGTGAAATATGTTGAAATCTATAAACGACTTCTGAAGAATAACCAAAAGGTCCAGGGTGATGATATTTGGCCAGTAACATGCTTGGATGGAGAGCTACAAAGTTTTTAAATGACTTCTGATTAACAAAATGTCAAGGGTGATTGTTTGTTCATGAGAATGACCTTGACACGCTTCCAAGGTCACATCTGGTCAATTGTGCATAAGTCTTTAAAAGTCATCTTCTCATTGAAAAAAGGTATAGGGTGGTGATAGTTGGCAAGTTGCATTCTGGGATGAAGGGCTATTAAGTTTATTCAACTTAATGTCCATGTTTGACTTTCAAGGTCACAGGAGTCAAATGTGTTTTAATCGTTAACAGGGTCCTTTGAATGACTTTAAGTGAAGACACTGATATTTTGTCTGTAGCATTATTTTAGTTCACTTTTAACCCTTTCACCCATTATATGTAACTTTGGTAGACTCTACCATACATTTGTACAGATAATTCCATTATGGTCTACAGTGGTAAAAGGGTTAAGGTAACAATTGTGAGATTAAAACCAGGTGAGTGATGCAGGCCCATTGGGCATCTTGTTTTTTGGAAAGCTGAGTTTCACTACTTAAGTCTGTTTTTGCTGGTTTTGCACATGTAAAGCTTTGATCAGTAACTGCATTCAGGTAGCAGCCATTGAATGGGTCAAAGTTCGTGATGACATACTTAAGCATTTGTGATAAATCTTGTACAAATGATGTTAAGATGATTACAGAGTAAGTTCTAATTGAATATACACATACATGATGAGAGAGCAATACATATATATAGACGATTGCTCAGTAATGAGATATACAATTACAGAGTAACTTTTAAATGTGTACAGGAGTTTTGCTGTAGATTGTTACACAATTGAAAATACATTGAAATTACTAATGAGCTAAATGATTTCATATTCATTATTTAACAATATTGATATTGCAAGCCTATCATAGGGGGACATTAAGGTTGACACGACCTTCGTTTTATTACTTGGTAAAATAGATCTAATCCACATATGTTTGTTTGTTATGGTGGAAAATATAACTCGGGATTCCTAAATCTAAGGTTGTAAATATTAGCAACATTTTTTTAAATGCTTTACAAATGCAAGCACAAATACATGGGGGCAACGCAGTAGAGAAAACATCATGATTTTACGGGAAAGTGTGAAACTTTGGTTTGGGATAATAGAGACAACACACATGACAACAAAAGAAAGTGTAGTTCTAAACTGTATGTTTTTCAATGTTAAATGTGTAATTATCATCATTAGTATCGAACAACTTATTTAATGTTTGAGATAAATGCAATAAATTTGATGTCCATTTAACTTAGTATAACAACAGTGTAAGGGCGGCTTTACAGGTTTTAAGGGAGGATGGTCAACAACCTACCTCTTTATAATGTAAGCTAAGCACAGTTATGAAGTCACCTATGTTATGCAAAAATAAATTACCATCTCATCAATTGTTCAGAGCATACATGATGTAACTTTAACATTTTATCACACACTTGACTTCTGTGACCTAGAAAAGACAAATATTATTACCCTATTCCAGGTAATTCTTTAGAAAATATTGTTTAAATATGCTCACCTGATATATTTGGCCTTCCTTTTTTCAAACTTGGAGCACTCCATGCCACCAAACTCATGACTATAGAAATTTTAGTTTCAAAGAAGAGTTTTTAAACCAAATTGACCCCTGTAACACAGCTAGGTCAAGGTTATTTCATTTCCCAATCTTTGTAGCAAGCCATACCGGCAGGTAACTTGCCAATTACCATGCTTCTAGTGCTTTTGAATCTTCAAAAGAAGTGACTGGAGTGTTTTAACCAATATGACCCCTGTGACTTTGAATACAGGCCGTATTCCTTGGCCTTTTAGTCTTTCAGAAGATGCCTCTGTTTGAGATACAATTATACAACTATTGCAGTGTGTTCCAAAACGCCCCATACATTTACAGATTTTGTTTTCCTACACAAACTTTGTAGAACATTTTCTAAGAGTGCTAAATAATATCAGTTTCATTGGACTTGGTTAGCTATGATTTTATAGATGCCCAAAATGTTACCCTTCTCTGAATACTTCCTACCAGTTGAAACCTATCCAGTATTTATAGATGGACGATGAACGACGGACACTATGATAGTATAAGCTCACATTTGCCCTTCAAAGACAGGTGAGCTAAATATTGCTGTCATGTATGTTAAACCAAGTGATCTGTATATGCATCATAAATCCCAGATATTGTAAAACATGATTTATTTCTTGTTACAACACAGACCTCACAGTGTTTGTATAGCTCATTATGTTTACAGAAAACACCACTAGCTGTGCAGTACACAGATATCTCGGCCTGTCAATTCTTTTTTGTCAGAGATTTTGACACTCAAAATTCCTATCACATTTGCCAGCTGTCCGGTTCTGAGGATTCAACAGGATAATCTAGCACCGTCATTAACAAAGGTATCCCTGTCTGGTAGGCAAGAAATGTCAATTCAGCATCAAACAGATACGATCAGGGCATTCTGAACGTCTTTTACGTAAAGGACACTCCGCAAATGCCAACACAACGAAAATGCTTGCGATACATTTGATAATCTTATAACAAAACTTTCAGCACATGCAATCTATAGTAATGCTGTAACGAAAAGGAACAATATCCCCTCTTCTATCATTCTCAATCAAATGTCACATTAACATTGCTCTCATGATGTTTTGATTTGCAATTAACACTACACTAAAACCATCATTGTAGAGCTAGATTGTTGAAACTTGAACATTCTATAAAACTGAAAGATAAAAACGTGGTTCTGAGCAAAATTACATAAAATCATTTTTTACTAACGTACTGATTCACTGGTATAAACATGAGTCAAACTCAAACTATTTACATAACAAACCTGCAGCCACAATATTGTACATCTCAGGTAAATCATAGCCTAGTCCACAAATAGGTACATAATGTATCTCTTAGGTAAAGTATACTTTATAGTCCACATAGGTACATGATATGTCTCCGGTAAATCACAGCCAAGTCCACAATTAGCTGGCAGGTAAATCATACCAGGATGCTAAGAATCATGCAACATAAACTGACTTATTAATGGAGCTCTCTCAGTTCAGTATAAAGCTTAAAATTTCCAATTCAAACTGTATTAACTCATTATTACAGTTGATTGCACAGTTAAACACAGATATCTATTTCATCTCCAGAGCTTGGAGTTGATATGTCAGTGTTACATTAAATAGCAACTCACTCTGGATCCAAGCTTTTGGACTCCGCCCGCCATCAGGGATGGCATGGTCATCACTCTTCTGTCATCAATCCCTGATGAAGGGCTACGCCTGAAAGCTTGGATAGAGAGTGAATGTTACTATTTATCTCAGTACGCTCCTTGTAGGAACTTCATGATAGGCATTTGTTTTCAATAGGAAAGTGTTTTTTTTTATTTCTCGTCCAACAGCAGAGCTGGAGAGAACTTGTTCCTAATCTCAGCAGTACATGGTGGGATTTGGTTAGAAATTGACAGAGCCTTCTGGTAAACTGCTGTTCACAAGTTTGTAGAAACGCAGATCATTTACAAGGCGTTGGACACTCTGCATAAACGATGGCAAGTCCTGAAATGAAACAAGAAACACTGTATGTAACGGACAAAAGTTGTAATTAGAATGTTACATGTTCTGTAAATAATTATCTAACAAAAAGCGCTGTAACTGTAGTTTATACGATATTTTCCCCCTACGCTTTTACACAATATCCCATATCTTTCTTCTGTGAGTGACAATATATTAGCAAAGTATGCAAGTCAGATGGTATAGATGTAAGTCTAGATATTTGCTGTTTAAATCTGGATTTCCTCAATCTTTACCTGATCAAGCCTGAAATTTTGGCCCAGTATTGTTTTCTGGTTAGCATCCAGGCCATCATAATCACCAACGAACCGTGGTAAAAATTCTGAATAAAATTTCCCAAAGTCTACAGATGCCATGTTGTATATGGTCATGACGATTTCCTCTTGGAGAAGGTCATGTGACCTGTGGACTAGAACTTGGAGAAGCACACTTGTAAACTGGAACAACATCACATCCTTGAAGATCGGCTGCAACATACACATAAACAATATATATATGATATTAATAGTCTATTGTATGTAGGTATGTGGGACAAGGATATTTTACCCGAGGGTGTAGAATTGGGGTCAGAACCGAGACTTTGCCAAGGTTCTGACACCAAATTCTGCACCTGTGGGTAGAATATCCATATCCCAAAAACCTACATAATGATTGACTCTTTATCTCCTTCCTCTTAACCGAAATTTTGGAGAAATAAGACTAAGACAATGAAACCCTAAAAATAGCAAAATTCCTAGATAACATATATATACACAAATCAAGGCCATATTTAGAAAGAGCAACAAAAATATGGTATACTGTAGGTATCCTAGAATTATTATGTTCTTGAGATGTTGTTGCTTGCTGATGGCAAGATTACCTGTCAGCCAAACAATAGTTTGATATGTTTTCATAATGATGTGATGATAGTGATGTCATAATAACATCCCGTCATCTGATTGTGAGGTCATCATAGTACAGGTCACTGGATGCACACTTGTGGGATATACAGGGGTGTCAGCGTTTCAGTTGACAAACGGAATGGAATGNAATAACCCAGGATATATGTATCAATAACCCCCCAGGATATATGTATCAATACCCCAGGATATATGTATCAAAAACCCAGGATACATGTATCCCACAAGAGACACAGGTATCTTTTTCATACATAAAGGTTGTACAAAGACAATACACAACATACACAAAATACAGTCATTTAATGCCTTCCCAAGGTGTAGTAAAACAATAATGACCGGAGATATATGCTGATAGTTGACCATGTGTAATATTTGCACAAGGCTATTGTAATTTAAGCATGTCACCCCTAGTATTTTAAACCTCTTAGAATAATTTCCTTGGGATAACATAGGGAGCTATACAAATTTCCATTTTTAAAATAAATTTGAGCAGCAATCTTCAAAATTAAGTATTTCTCCGACACTTTTATTCAAAGTGAAATTCTTTGGAATGATATATGGTAAGCAAAACTCACAAATATATGTAACAATGGGAGTATGATAAACCAACCTTCTGGTACAGCCTCCACTTTGAGTTGAGTTGCTGCAGAGAGTTGAGGTTCTGTCTAAACACTTCAATATCAGACTGCAGAAAGGACTGTCCGTACGACTGAAATCCATGACAAAATACAAATAAAGAATAATTGTATCACAACCAATAATCCACTTAGATTTTATAATTTGATCATGTTTTCACTGTTTTATTTTATGATCAATAATCCACACATGTATTTAACATCAGTGACATTAAAAACTTTTTTACCATTGACATATGTACAGCAATCAACAAAATATTTAAACAAGAGGCCCAGAGGGCCTGTATCGCTCACCTGGATATCTAAGCAATTACAGCAAAATATTCTCCAAATGAGATCCAAGGGAATATGTAGCATATCTGTATTAGATTTTTCATGCCCAGCAATTTCATATATGGTTATGGGGTGGGGATCTCAACTGTTTCCAAGCTGTGACTCAGAAACTAGGTCCCTAAGGTTGTGACCAGACCCCATGATCTATTCTAATATCATGACTGCATTCGTCTCGTTTTGCCCATCATTTATATTCATAGTTTTGGGGTGGGGATCTCAACCGTTTCTAAGTTATGACCCAGGAGTGAAGTCTGCAAGGGTGGGGCAGACCCTGGGGTCAATTCTAATATAATGACTGCATTTGTCTCTTTATGTACAGCATTTGTATACATAATTTTGGGGTGGGGATCTCAACCGTTTTAAAGTTATGACCCAGGGACTATGTCTCTAAGGGTGGAGCTAGACCCTAGGGCCATCCTGGGAGCAAATGTGCATTCTTCTCTTTATACTCAGCAATTGTATATATGGTAATACAGTGGGGATCTCAACCAAGTAATACACTTTTTTTGACCCCACTCCTTAGCCCGGGGGGTCAGCCCCATCATTTGTACAAGTTTGAATCCCTGCCTCCCATGAATGCTTCCGATCAAATATGATTGATATCCAGTGCATAGTTATACAGAAGAAGTCTTTTTTTAGCAATATAGCCAAATTACACACTTTTGGCCCCGCCCCTCAGCCCCCTGGAGGGTCAGCACCACCATTTGTACAATTTTGAATCCCCACCACCCAGGGATGCTTCCAGTCAAATTTAGTCATCCTTCGGACCAGGTGAGCTGATAAAGCGTGTAAGCATGTAAAGAGATACACTATCTTAAGTGACATACCTGCATGATAAGTGTAAATTGATCAGCATTCACTACCTCCTCTGTTTTAGTCTGTAACATGGTTAAAACTGACCCTTTGAAGAAGTGTCGCCAATTGTTCATCAAAAGAGTGTGTAGTAGCTCATACAGCCCTTGTTTGATATCGGGAGTTGGACGCTAGAAATACCACATTTTATACATGAAAATAATGTGAAAGTTTAACAAAATCCTGCATGTCGATTGAAAGTTCAAAATATAAACACCAAGAAACATCTGTTAATCAATGGGTTGACTGTAAAATGTAACTTGTGGCGATTTATTGTCAAAATTTCATACTGCTGTTTGACATAGTCCTTTCAAACTGAGATGGTGTTTGACCTATTTACTAGAATAGCAGTGAATAGTAAAAAGAAAACAGTAATGTCTTATTTCCGACACTTGTCTTTTTTTGATAATCTGGAAATATATATAATCACAGCAACAGAGGAGCAGCTGTTGTCAAATATAGAACAAAGGTATCATATCTGATCTTTCTAAACATTTTTTCAGGTTGGTAAGTATGAATTATGGAAAGGTTATGTATCACAGGTTATGTGTGACTAGTACAATACATACCCCGTCACTTTCATCAGACAAATGACCAGTGAAATTTCATTTGTCTGACAGGGGTGACAGGGTATGTATTGTACTAGCCATCGTAACGTCACACACAAACACTTACAGGGTGTTAAACATATCCTTTCTATAATCAACAGATATAGATGGATATATTGACACACCTATGAAAATATACACTTACCTGGGCAATAATGGGATATACATGATCCATACATATAGATATCAGATATAGATTTACCTGGGCAATAATGGGATATACGTGATCCATACATAAAGATATCACATAGATTTACCTGGGCAATAATTGGATATACATGATCCATACATAAAGATATCACATATAGATTGACCTGGGCAATAATGGGATATACATGATCCATACACAAGATATCATATATAGATTTACCTGGGCAATAATGGGAATCAACAGATATAGATGGATATATTGACACACCTATGAAAATATACACTAACCTGGGCAATAATGGGATATACATGATCCATACATAAAAATATCACATAGATTTACCTGGGCAATAATGGGATATGCATGATCCATACATAAAGATATCATATAGATTTACCTGGGCAATAACGGGATATACATGATCCATACATAAAGATATCACATAGATTTACCTGGGCAATAATGGGATATGCATGATCCATACATAAAGATATCATATAGATTTACATGGGCAATAATGGGATATACATGATCCATACACAAGATATCATATATAGATTTACCTGGGCAATAATGGGAATCAACAGATATAGATGGATATATTGACACACCTATGAAAATATACACTTACCTGGGCAATAATGGGATATACATGATCCATCCATAAAGATATCATATAGATTTACCTGGGCAATAACGGGATATACATGATCCATACATAAAGATATCACATAGATTTACCTGGGCAATAATGGGATATGCATGATCCATACATAAAGATATCATATAGATTTACCTGGGCAATAATGGGATATACGTGATCCATACATAAAGATATCACATAGATTTACCTGGGCAATAATGGGATATGCATGATCCATACATAAAGATATCATATAGATTTACCTGGGCAATAACGGGATATACATGATCCATACATAAAGATATCACATAGATTTACCTGGGCAATAATGGGATATACATGATCCATACACAAGATATCATATATAGATTTACCTGGGCAATAATGGGATATACATGATCCACACATAAAGATATCACATAGATTTACTTGGGCAATAATGGGATATACATGATCCACACATAAAGATATCACATAGATTTACCAGGGCAATAATGGGATATACATGAACCATACATATAGATATCACATATAGATTTACCTGGGCAATAATGGGATATACATGAACCATACATATAGATATCACATATAGATTTACCTGGGCAATAATGGGATATACATGATCCATACATATAGATATCACATTGGGTAGGAAAGCTTTGAAGGCAGAGCCTGGCTCCTGTACAATCAGCTCTAAAATCTTCAGAAATCTGTAAACAAGCAATTTCACTGATCAGGGGGTGCACATGATTCTCTTATAACAAGAGGCCCAATGGGCCTGCATCGCTCACCTGGCATCAATTTCACACTTGTAAAGCAATCTAGCCCTTCCACCCAGCATGCTACAGGCCCAATTTCAGTATCCTCGGCCGTTTGGTTATTGAGAAGAAGTGGTTTGAAGATTTAAGACATTTGACCCATGTGACCTTGAAAGTGGGTCAAGGTCATTCATTTGAACAAACTTGGTAGCCCTTCATCCCAGCATGCTACATGCCAAATATCATCATCCTGGGCCTCTTGGTTATTGAGAAGAAGTTGTTTAAAGATTTTAACATATTTGACCCCCGTGACCTTGAAAATTGATGAAGGTCATTTATTTGATCAAACCATCATATATTTGTTGTACAATAACATTAAATCTGTTTAATATGAACACAACAAGAGAGTTCACCTCCATTATAAGTCATGTTTACTCTCCTTATACAGATACCTAATTAGGTGAAGTCAGCTTACTTTTTTTATCACATAACTGACCTATTTTACTATGTCATAAAGCGATGTCATAAATACAGTATTATACATGTGTAATAAAACCTAAAGGTGCTGCGGTTGATCAAATCTGTGGGAACATATTCCTGCGCCACTAAAGGTACTTTCTTTACCACATGATACATTAACTGTTATTTTAAATGATTTCGAAATGTTAATTTTGTTATTATTATTTTCATTGCATTTGAAAATATTCATTATTTAAAAAAATGGGGGGGGGGATCTAGAACTACATTGCACTACACAGAACAACTATGATCGGAGTACTTTGGTTTTAACTATATATATAGTCAGCTGAGAATGAATTATTGTTTTTTTTCTTCAAATTATCACATGAATGGTATGTGATAAATAGAAATAGAATCATACATGAGTGTCCATGATACATTGAATTTAGTAAACTCTTTCAATAATTTGATATGACACTTGCTGAAAGATTTGTGTCATATCAATTTTGAACTTGTTTAAGGCTCGTGTGATTTCAAATTATTGAACATGTTTAATAAATTCAATATGACATGGACACTCATCTTCTAAGATCCTCTCTCTAGAACTGTAATGGGCATGTATAAATAATCACATGGTACTGGTATTATGTATCTAGTCAGCTTACTTATTTTATATTCGTATTTTTTTTTATCATAAATGAACACCTGATACTATAATGAAGTATGGTTAGCTTACTTTATATATTAGTTTATAGCATCTGATACTAGAAGTATGAAGATGATGCATGGTTAGCTTACTTCTCTATATTATTTAACTACTTATGTATAAATGAACACCTGACACTGATATAAGTATGGTTAGCTTACTTCTCTATATTATTAAACTGCTTATGTATAAATGAACACCTGACACTGATATAAATATGGTTAGCTTACTTCTCTATATTATTTAACTACTTATGTATAAATGAACACCTGACACTGATAAAAGTATGGTTAGCGTACTTCTCTATATCATTTAACTACTTATGTATAAATGAACACCTGACACTGATATAAGTATGGTTAGCGTACTTCTCTATATTATTTAACTACTTGTGTATAAAATGAACACCTGATACTGATAAAAGTGTAGCTAGCATACTTCTCTATATCATTTAACTACTTATGTACCTGACACTGATGTAAGTATAGTTAGCTTACTTCTCTATATTATTTAACTACTTATGTATAAATGAACACCCGACACTGATGTAAGTATAGTTAGCTTACTTCTCTACATTATTTAACTACTTATGTATAAATGAACACCTGACACTGATATAAGTATAGTTAGCTTACTTCTCTATTACTCCCTGAGCTGCACTGCTACCATGACTGATTGTCTCTGCCAGCTGTTCTCTGAAAATTATAAGAAAAAACATAAAGTAACTTTGGAAATACTTCAGTTACAAATTAATTGTAGATTAATGATCTATAATCAAACAAACAATATTTTTGAAGAGGTTGAGCATTATGTGAATTTACAGTAACATATCAGTTTTTCTAATTTTGGTGGATAAAATATTTCTGTCCAGTCTTTTTAATCTTATCAATATCAAGGATATGTTTTACTAAGTAACACAAATATATTGAAAACAAAATTGTTATGATTAACGACATCTATAATGAATGATAAGAAATATTATAAGGTATGATTAATTTCCAACACAACATTTGCTATTTCTCAAAAACAGTTTTCTGAAGATATTTAGGTGGGTATAAAATGTCCCAGTACCTTGTGAACAGCCCCATAAAAGTCTGAATTGTTTGCTCAGTAAATGGCACTCCCATCTGGACCCTCAGTCCTTGGAATAATGCCAAGAAAAAACTCATGAAGTTATCAATAACATCTGAAACAGAGGATTTGCTGGTACAATTATTCTGAGTTATACTGCAAGTACAAATGAAGTATATACCGGTAATTTTAGCTATCAGTACATACATACTTCAAGCAAAGAGATAAAATTGCACATATATTACTATCAATATAACAAGTATAATCAATCAAATATATACAGGATAACCTGTCTCAACCGACCCCTGTTTAATCTGGATGCCTGTTTAAACTGGCAGTGATTTGTGGTTCCGTCATATTCCCTATATAATCATAGTAGCTAAACCCTGTATAAACCGGACCATGTCCATTCCGAAAAAAGGCAATGTTTGACAAAAGTTAGCATAGTAATCCATATAAAACAAGAATTTTGTTTTTGTGAACAAAAACATGTCTCCCCTTATTAGCAAATAGACAAACTGGGCCATATCTCTTTATATAGTGGGGCACAAGACCCGAATTTAGAATACGACACTCCTACATATGTACTTCCCAAGATACATTAAACTATAGCAAATTTGGTCATAGTAGGTGAAATAACATGGAAGTTATGCCATGGACAAACTTGGGTATTGAAAAATAAACAAAGTGCCATTACTCTGTATATAGTGGGGCAAAAAGCCTGATTTTAATTAAAGAGATTCCTCTATATCCCTTATTGGGCCCACGCTTCTCTGCCCCCAGGGGGGTCAGATCCACCATTTATACCAAATTGGTTCGCTTCACCCAAGGATGCTTCATACCAAATTTGGACAAAATCCAGTCATTCCTACAGAAGAAGAAGGATTTTGAATAATTTGCTAGGTTTCCCCTATTGAACCCCGATCCTCAGCCCCCATGGGGGCCTTGCACACTGTTTATACAAAATTGAGTCTCCTTGGCCCTAGGATGCTCCAGACTAAATAAGGATAAAATCCCTTAATCCCTACGGTAGGAGAAGGATTTTAAAGGTTCTATCTCTATATTCCCCTATTTGGCCCCGCCCCTCTGCCCCAAGAGGGGCCACACCAACCGTTTATACAAAATTGAGTCCCCTGCACCTTAGAATGCTGCAGACCAAATTTAGTCAAAATCTACATGGCTGTTCAGGACTAGTAGCATTTTATAGGAAAAGTTGACGGACAGACAGCCACTGGGGTATGGCATAAGCTCACCATGGTCCTTTAGACCAGGTGAGCTAAAAACCTGTTCATTCCAGTCCTTATATCTCTCTCTCAAACTCCTTTTAAAACAAATCCAATGTTGGATCGCCCTTCGTTTGTATTATATTACTGTATATTTTGTAAATAATTAAACATTGCAATTAATTCATTTCTCTGTTTTTTATGTTGAAGCACTTGTATGCAGATTGTATGCAAAACGTTACATTTTTGTATTTTCAAAAAACAACATGGACAAAAAGTTTGGTCCTGGTGACATCCAGTTTAGACAGGTTATACTGTATAACCAAAACTATATCAAATACACCACAAGGCCTTCAACCAATATTTTATCAATAAGACAGACAGTGTTAAATGTTGTACACAATGTAAAGATACTCAATGGAAATAAACTCTGCAAAAAACTTAAACCAGAAGCAAATTTATTATAGGACTGGTGCTAATTCCCAGCCCTGATTGGTGGAGCGAAGTCATGTGACGAGTCTGTAAATATGTTACAGACCTCGCTCTATGAATAGAAAAGTGTTACAGACCACGACCTATAAATAGAAAAGTGTTACAGACCACTACTAAAAATAGGCCTAGGTAATTTCCCAGCCAGTCTGTAATCCTGTACCAATCACACTACTGAATTCAACTAAAAATGAATTATTTCATCAAATTCTGAATTATGTGAATATTGATGATGTCGATTGTGCAAATAATATTTACTTGAAATTAAATATCACATGAATTGAATCTGAAATTAAATTTGTGTGTATGCTAATTTGTATTTGAAGTCCTTCACTCTGTGATTCCAAAATAGTCCATGCCATCCATGTGTTTATGACTCATTGTAAAATGTCATATAATAAACCAATTGTGGAATTCAGTCTCGGTCTATCCCTGATTTACGGACCTGGTCTGAAAAATATTCCCCTCGGCCTTCGGCCTCTGTGAATGTTGTTCAGACCAGCGACCGTACATCAGGGATAGACCTCACCTGAAGTCCATAATTGTATAATATTGTACATTGTGTATGTAAATGGCATCAGAAAATGTCTACCGAAATGCATCTCTCGTTCGCTTTAAATTCTGTTATTTTTTACAAACATGGTTTAAAACCTGTTATTAATATTGTATATCTGACCTGGCTGCTGAAGGTAGACAGGAAAGACTGACAGCGCCACCTGTATGACTTCCTGTAGGGACTGGTAACACAGCTGTTTACTTCGCACCACCTCTCCCGCTATAGCCTCAATCCAGTCCTCAAAAATGTGCAGTGTCTTCTTAATGATTGGTTTAGCTGTCAATCAAGAAAATCATGTCAATATGGCTGCCAATTTTTTTACCCCATCCATTGAAATTGAAGCATGCAAGAGGCAAAGGAGATATTGATTAGTAAATTTCATCATTAACCCTTAGGTTAAATTAAAAACATTTTTTTTTAAATCCATGCAAACCAACGCTCGGACTTTGTAGAATCAAATCTACTCACCCTCCTCCTGTAGAGCCTTGTTAGAGGCCAGAGTAGCCACCCTTGGTTTGAGCTGAAGGAAGTTGCGCGACAGCTGACCCACAAATGTGACGTGGTGGGCAGCACGACTGCCCCAGTCTTGTTCTCCATCAGACAAATTAGGCCAGGCTAACAGCAGGCAGTGACTCAGAGATCGGTACAGTAACAGCTGAACCTGTAACCAAGGTCAGGGTCACACAGAAAGTTATCAGGAATGTCAAGGGCATCCATCATTAGAGGTGGAACTTGATCTTACTTAAAGTAAACCACACTTAAATGTAACTGGAACGCATTAAATATAGCACAATTATGATTCCTGTTTTCTCATGTGTTGAAGTTTTGTCACCACATCATTAAAGGACTATGTAGGTCTGAGGATCATAAGGTCAATAAGGTATTACACTGATCTACTGGATTCTACTAAAATTTATGGTGATGACTGACCTCGTTGCACTGATCTACTGGATTCTACTGAAATTTATGGTGATGACTGACCTCGTTGGAAAGATGGTCGTAGCCTCCCTGGCTCGCCACCTGGAACATGGACTGAATACTGGTCAGTTGGAGTAAGAACCGTGGCCGGACTGTAGTGGCTATAGATAACACCAGGTGGACTGCAGAGTGGATTATCTTCTCTGGCGTCTGGAGAAAAAGGTAATTAGGAAATACAATACACAGACAGCATTAAATACAATAAACACATACACAGAAACATAGCACTTAGTATTTGCAAAGTGATTTTCAGTATGTAAAGAGTTTAATTATAAAACAGAAAAAAAATCCTTCTGAACCAAAAACGAAATTTTTTAAAAGCCTTCACTGATCTATATAATTTAAATAAAAACAATTACACAAACCAGCTAAAAATGACTTTACCTCCTTAGTGATGAGAGGTAGGAGAGAGTCGAGTAGTGATGATGTAAGTGTTGCAAACTTCTCCTTCTCCTCCGGTACACGCTGGGACTCGCTGTGATACTGACCCAACCAATGAGCGAATGCCTTCACTGATGCAATCGCCTGAGCATGGCTGCAGAAACAAATGATAAAGCCGGTTATCAAAGGTTTGACGACACTCTAGTTCTTACCTAACATCTTCACCTACAGCATTCTCATTCCAACATCAGGTCTTGCCACTCCTAATGTATACATCTCTGACTTCCACTAATACAATTGGTGCTTCCAATTGGTTATTTTCATTAAGGCACATAACAGACAGAATGATTGGATCTATCGTATTTTAAGGAAGTAAATTAATGACATTGTCTTAAAGAAACAAGAAATAAGCATTAGGGTAACAAAATGCACCCCTCCGCAAAATCAATAACTTTAAACCTTGGTATGAAGAGTTAAGGCCAGCCAAGTCTTTGTCTGACATCTTACTTACACTCCAATGAAGTCTGTATGGAGGACATTCTGTACACTTGACATCACCTCAAACAGGCGGGTTTTTGTACCGTAGACCACTGTGTGGATCAACCTGAAGGGGGAGAAAATCAACATTTACTTCTAAAGCAGGTTTTTAGTATCTTATGACTACAATATAAAAACAATCTATTTCATCACACAAAATCCTTCTGTCTGAAAATAATTTTTGTCATTTCTTTTACTGGTATCTACTTTAAACTAAATGTTAATTGAAAATTCAATTGGTAAACAAAGGAAATAATGCTTGGGAATTCTACTTAGGATTAGTTTACCATTTAGACATATAAGTTAGCATAACAATCTCTGTATCCTAAACACCTGTTACGCTATTGATATCAACTAGAGATTTGTTTTTATTGACAGATTTGCTTGTTTGATCTGCACTTATTTGACCTTTATCCTTGAGGTGAGGGTCACAATAACCTAAATCAATTGCACTGTACAGTTTTTGGTGGAAGAAGGTTTAAGTTTTATCAAAAAGTTTCAGTGGTTTGAAATTCAGAGCCCTTATATTTAACCTTTGACCTTGAAGTAAAAGTCACAGTGACCTAATTACTAGGCTCTGCACTCTTCTAGGTGTGATGCAGGTATATGTCATGTTTCATCAAAAGATCTTTTACAGCTTGAATTTATGTCCAGGAAAAAAATCCTGAAACCTTTAGCACTTATCTGTTCTTTGACCTTGAGGACTAGGCACTGCACACCTGACCTCCTGGGGGTGATGCAGGTGCAGTTTAAGTTTCATCAAAATATTTTATATGGTTAAAAAGTTACAAGCCTTGACATCATTATTTTTGAAGGAAAAGTACCAGTACTAATACAACATATCTCCCTTCATTCTAAGGGGAAACATCATAAGAAACACACCTTGATATCAGCATGGTCCCGTCTGTGAATCTGTCCGGGAATTTCTCTCCGATGAAATGCTCTGCCAGCCTACCAAGTGCCTGAAGTAGGGATGACAGGTCGCGAAGGGAGCAGTGAAGGCGACGACACTCGTTCTCTGCCGTTACTGTCAGGTGTCGCCCCTGGCCACCATTAGTCAAGTATCGTTCCAGTCCCAGGTAGATCTCCAGGTGCTCCCGGAACGGCTCATACTAAAAACATTACAATGAGGCACAGTACTGGTAAGAGACTTTGTATTTAAGGGAACTCAAATTTTCATTACATTGTATATTTCACATTGATCTTCTGTTTTAGTACTAAACAAATTAACGCTGCAGTTTGCCGAACTACAGAGGTTTTTTCTCTCATTCATATCAGCCTTGGAATTAAAACTAGTAAGAAAGAAATAATTTTAGACATGTCTATATCTAAGAAAATATACATGTACATCAACTCAGATTTGACTGCTTTGAATGACATAGTATTATGGTGGGTTTTATTACTAGATAGATATTTCCTCTTAATACATTTTGTACAAGATTCCTCCTGTCAAAGATATTTTGATTAGGGAAGCCCTATGATGTCAACTTACAAGTAACCTGAAAACATCTGCTGTGAGAATTTCTGCAACTTTGGCAACCACCTCCAAACTTTGCCGTAGAAAATGCTGCCATTCTGTTTCAGACTGTCAGAAGAAATAAGGATTTATTACATTAATAAACATATGCAACCAAACTGTTCCACAATACCTTAAAGGATCTGAGTGTTATAATGGCGTACTGCTGTATAGTGAATATCTTACTGTGAATTAGATTCTAATAAAGATGCTCTACTCCCCAATGCTTTACTGTGGAATTGGATATTTATAACAATGCTTTACTGTGGACGTGGATATTTATAATAATGTTTTACTGTGGAAGTGGATATTTATAATAATGTTTTACTGTGGAAGTGGATATTTATAACAGTGTTTTAATGTGGAAGTGGATATTTATAATAATGTTTTACTGTGGAAGTGGATATTTATAACAATGTTTTACTGTGGAAGTGGATATTTATAACAATGTTCTAGTGTGAGTTAATGTTTTACTGTGAAGCACATGCTTTATAGCAATGCTTTATTTTGAACGGTATGTTCTAAAGTGAAGTGGATATTTTCAATGTTTTACTGTAAAGCAAATGTTTTAAAACAATGTTCAACTGTGAAATGTAGAGAAAAATAATTTTACTATAAAAAGATGCATGAAAAAAGGACTGAGAACTAGAAATCTTGTAATTAGGATCCTAACCGAGTATAACCAGGTCTGATCCTATAAACCTTCATATTGGTGTTGTATAGGCTTTGTATTTACAGCAATTCAATGAGACAAGGAATCAACAGATTACTACAAGTGTTTAAACTAAACTGGAACTTTTAGGCAAACTATACCAAAGATTGATAAAGATGACTTTTATAGTGACATGAAACAGATCACTTACATCATCATCCAGAACCTCATCGTCCAGTTCCTCGAGCTGTGACTGATTGAAGCGGAACTGTAACTTCTGTAGGATGTGAGACACTAGGGACAGCAGCGCCTCCTGGTATCTGGGTTTGGATACATACATTTATTTGATATTTACACTTTGGTATCCACACTAGGACGAACTGAACTTTGGATTGGTGAATAATTTTCTGGTAACTGGACTCCAGACAATCACAAAGAAAAAAGCTTTGTGATTTTAAGGGTAGACAATGATAAATAAGAAATATTTCATGATTGTTTGAATGCAGACAATGATACTAGGGTCAGCACTTGCTCTATGGAGCTTGAAAAATGTATCGCTAACAGTTGAATAATTAAGTAAGCGGTAACGGTACCTGGCCACGAGTAGATTGCTGTCTGTGGTCCTCTCCTTTAACTTGGTGTGCAAGTAGTCAAGGAAGGTATTCCATGTGTCCAGGCAGTTGAAATACCCTTCATATGTTGGCTGCAATAGACTAAATATAATTTCACAACTGTCAGGTGAAAGTTTTACATGGTTGTCAGAGATTAATCAATTGATTGCATTATCAATGATCTCACTGAACACAAGTCTAGCTTTGTGTTCATTTGTTTGGCTGAATACATTTTATCTGATGTCCATTCATGTTGCGAATAGGGAATAAAATTTACAAAACATAATCTAAGCTAAATTAAGTCATCTGTTCAAACGGTGTGCCTGTGTAGATCACCTACCTGTCTAAAAGTGTACTTGAGTAGTAATGCTAGAAACTCCAAAACAGGAAATTGTAGGTTGGCTTCAAATCTTTGCAGATGAACACTCACAAATAACTTTAAAAAATCTGTGAATTTTTCAATATAACTGAAAAGAAAGATATTGGAATGAAAAAATATATATATTATGTTCAATTCTGTTTTAATAAAGATTCAAACTTTCTTACCTTACAGAAATGTTAATTATTTACATCAGCTATCAAAAATGGCTTTCAAAACATTCATGATATTTTGGCAAAAAACATAACATGAGCAAGAAATATCAATGAACTATCTGGAGTAAGTACTGAGTTATTGACTGAAGTGATTAAATGATTACTAGCAGTGAAATCCTGTTATGACAGATGAGATCAAAGGCCAATATGAGCTATACCTTTCATCAATTTCTGATAGCCTATTCCCTGTTGCATTTGTACTGCTATCCTTGGTGAGCTTTTGTAACAGGTAAAAAGTCTGTCGGAACATCTGTAGTAAAAAGTCTTCAAATTCCTGGGGAACACAATTTTTTGATAAAAGCTCATTTATACAGTTCATCGCCCAAATCCCCAGGGACGACGTGTCAGAACTAAAGTTTGTGGTCCGATTGGAATTAACAGCTTTTTTGGCTTCACATCCAAATCCTGCGAAATGAAATATGGTACTAAGCAATGAAGGTGTGATGGTGGATGACAGTGGAATCCAGCTGAAATACTCTGCGAGGCAATGTAGAGCTAGACTACACACTTCCTTTGAAGAGTTATCTAGGGGAGGCAATGCCTCCAATTGAACACGATTTCCTGGTGATTTAAACATGTTACTTAGGAGACTGTCGGCTGAAATAAACAAAAACAAAAATATTTTAACAAATGACCTAGAACATGTCATGTCAAAGGATTAACCCAAGAAAATGCTGTTGAAAAACATAGAAACATCAAATAATTAACACAGTTATTTTCCAATACTAGGACTACAGACTAGACATGTATTAGATGGCCAGTTACAGGCATACCTGCAGGCGAGGAGGAAAACAACATCCAGGAGGATTTTCGCGAAGGAGTCTCGTTCCCTCCCTGAGTGGGGGAGGGAGGGGGCGTGGCAGCCACAAGGTGTCGGTGCTTCTCCAGTATAGCTTCAAGTGTAGCTGTTAATAAAAATAGTGCTTAATTGAGGCAATGCAATATATTGTGACAAATAAACAATAGATTTACATGTTATTGTTGAAATAACAATGTCTACATCTTTTAAATTGTGTGTGTTGGTGTGTGATCCGGCTCGTTCTGATTACAGGAATTACACATCCAATTTGTTTCCAATTTCAATGAAGCCAATAGTCATATCAGCCTCAGGCTATGGAATATAGTGTGCAAACTGTTAAACATCTGTATCTATATTTGAGTTTGTACTTACAGACCATGGTCATATTGCCCCAGGTACATGTATCTGTTTTGTATTCTTTTGCTGTTTGTAATTGATGTTTCAGTATATTGTGGAGATTGTTGATTGTAATTGATGTTTCAGTATATTGTGGAGATTGTTGATTGTAATTGATGTTTCAGAATATTGTGGAGATTGTTGATTGTGATTGATGTTTCAGTATATTGTGGTCTTATCTGTTTTAAAAGAGGTCACCTTGAAAATTTGAGAAATAACTTTGTCTGCATTATACGATATCACTTAGATGCCCAGTATATTATTATATACATGGCCACCATCACCTTGAACCTGAACCATCTACACCTGTTAATGATTAATTAGCTATGCATCTTAATTGATAGCAGATAAAGCTATCACATTTACTTTTAAAATAAAAAATATATATATTGACCACTCCAAAGATATCCAAGTTCTAAAATGATGTGTTACATTATTACAAAAAATGCAGGTGACCTTTACTTTTGACCATTTAGTGACCTGGAATGCAGTACTATGTATTTTGTCTTATGCCTGAGAATTTGAGGTTAATGTGACTCGAAGAATGATTGAAACACAGAAAAGAAAATGGTAAGTAACATGTTAACATGAAACAGACATAACAAGGTTAAGATGTTAACCATTTATATTTACTATGAAGTAGATCAGTATGAAACTGATAAACAAGGTAATTTTAACATTTTGATGATTCATTTCAATAAATTATATTTTCAGAGTAAAATTCATGCATTTAACGAACACTCACTGTTTAGGAGGCAAAGAATAGTGGGTACTTGCACCAGTAGGAGGCGCTGTAGTTCCTCTTTCCTGTCCATGCTGAGGTCCTCGCGAGGTGAGGCCAGTTCCTCAGAGGCTGTGTGCAGCAGGATTATTCCAAGCATGGTGGTCTCAGATCGTTGCACCAACTGTCCAAAAACGAATATTAAACCAAGTGTTTTTAATGTATTAAAACTTCTTTCTTACACATATTTCAGAAATATATCTAATTTTTAGTTGAAATTAAGGATTGAGCTTATTTGAATGATTTTCAATAGAGGTTCTATTTAGGCATTGTCAATTTTTACAAAAGTTCCATCAAAACATGAAATGTTTTCATTTCTAAATGTAGGAGTTTAATACTGACATTGTGACATAGTCTCTGAATTTTGTTCTTCTGATGCCTTTGAATTTCATAATAAATGTACATTAAAATTTGATAGCATATGTACATTTACTATAATAAATGGCACAAATGTTATCTTACCTCCAAAATACTGCTGAAGAAATCTGGATAGAAATGTGGCCAGTCTATACGGCCAATGTCCACAACAAGTTTGACCAGTTTAAACTTAATAAAGGATGGACAATGATTGTGGTGGTCAAGCAGGAACTGGTTCAACCGGGTACGTATTTCAAGTTTGGCTTGTCCATGAAATCCAACCCATTGCTTGTGAATCAAATTCTGATACAAAAACAAAATCATAGATGATCATTTATATCACTGCATGCATATCATTTTAAAATTGTGTTTCCCTTCTAATTGATCTGAAGTCAAAGTTAATACTTTCATTTTCAGTTATTCTTAACCAATGAAAAATTCAACCTACAATTACAAATATTTTCTTTCTTGTAAAATGATGTCCTATGGAAGGTCTATTGATAAATTAAAACAAATCGAAAACTTTGCTTCTACTTCTTTACCTAGAAAATGAGGCCAGCTAGTTTTGAGTTGAATATTTACTTACTTCAATGGCAGTCAAACAGAACATCATCACAAACTCATTGTTGGTGTTGCCTAGATAGTACAGACAGTGCTGCCAAGAATCTTTGGTCTGAGTAAAATTTTGTAGGATTTCCTCTGTAAATCAGACACAGCACATGAGTCAAAGATTTTCCCAAACTCCATAGGTATATATACATAAAACCAAGACAACTACCACATTACAGAGTATCCAAAAACTTAACATGCATTACATCACAATGATTGCTAAACAACGTTTTATAATTTTTCAAAAAAACACAGAAAAAGTTCATGTCTATTATTAAAATATGTTTGTATTTGGATCAAAATGACATTTCAAATAGGAATGCAGACTATACCTACAAATCAACTACTCCTTGAAATAATGGTTATGAATATCTGCTAAGATTATATATAGTCAAATTTTTGGGGCGATTTACCTATTTCTCTCTTTCTTTCATTAGATGTGGCTGGCCCAAAAAATTCATTCATGAGATTCTCCAAGGCCCCTAGAGATTCTTTACTGGAGGCCTGAAATGATAATTAATTATAATAATAATAATTCGAGGTTCTAATATATTACTTTATCACAACCTAGTTCGATTTCGTAGGTCGTCTCAAAGCGGTTCACAAATGATGCAAGGCATGTGACAGAAGACAATGACATATTTGCTAATCTTGTTGGGGGGTTTTCACATGTTTCTTCCTATGGAAAACTTTATGTATTGGCAAGTATACTAATAGGTCTCAACAATAAGGGTAGCCTAATAGTCCGAGACTAGTGACATATCTGGCTTAACTTGTGGTTTTCATGGAACAGAAAAATTGGAAACTATTAGCCTAACTGACTCAGTGTTTTTTTAATTAATATTCAAAAGTACTATTTTATACAATAGCTTGAAATTTTCTAGTCTGAGGAAAGTTTTGATAGGAAAAGATGTAAGAAGAATTTTTTTAAGTAACTAAATTGGTGAATATTTGTAATTTCTTTTATTGTTAATTTAGTAACATAATTCTGATAATTGTACCATTTGAAATATGTTAAACAGGTTGGGCACAACCCCACTTGAGGAATTATCTTCATTTGGGTAACAGCTGCTGTTTACACCAACAGTTTAAATTCTGAAATGTGGAAAAATGTGAAATAAAAACACAAAGTTCTTTTAAACATTAGGAACAGAAAGGGTGTCATTCTCTCAACATCTATCAGACTAATAAACAATTCAATGAAGTTAATTTGTACCAAACAAATTATCAGTTATGATGTCTTACTTTTTGTACCATAATACTGACTGAATGGTCACCATTGACAAGGCTAACGATGTACCCTGTGAACATCCATTTTAATGTGACAGGTGAGCATGACATTTTGTTCTATTCATAATTACTCTACACCACACTTTAAGCAATGAGGGTGACACATTTTGTCATTTTTAGAAAAGCTACTCATCAGATTTATTTTTTTGTGCACAACTGGACCTCATTTTATTATTTAGCGAGCTAATTTGCCCATGATAACGTGATTTGGTTTAACAGTTAATGAAATATGTCACATTCAGGTTATCGGGTTTGGCATTTTGTAATAGATTTCATCATTTTACCATTTTGGGAGTATCGCAGGTTCTTTGCTACAATGCCCTCGCGTGAAAGTAATGTTTTCGAGGGACAAATGTCTATGGCAACTTGATTTTCATTAAAACATGCCGACATCCCACACATGTGTCATCCTTTGCTTCCTCCATGATCGATTACCGTTCGGTATATGGATATCGCATTGGTTAACATCACCGGAAAGTCAAGAAATATTCCGAATGAAATTCTCTACCTAATCAACATCAGCTGAACGTTTTTTAGAATGGAAAATTATAATTAGCGTCTGTGTCATTAACTTACCTCGACAGCAATCCAGCACGTTGGGACCCTTTTCATCAGAAAGTCCTTGATATTCTTGTCAAGATGTCAATAACAGAACTTCCACCATCTAATGATGAAGGACCTGGGCAGCTCGCTATCGAAGAAGAGGATGAAGAGGTATAGAAAGAGACCGCACATGTCTCACGCTCTGTTAATTCATTTGCTCGCGTTAGGCTACACTGTGCTAATGTTAGGGATGATTGCAGCAGATACCGGGTTACTTTAGACAGACGAGAGTATTATTTTTGAATCCTCAATATGCTTTAAATCTTTTATTTGAAGAACAATCCTGTTTGACACATTCTTTTTTACGCTCTAAACTTCATAGTAATTGTAATAACTGCTGAAACTGCTAAATTCAACTTAGCCACATTATAATGAACGTCGATTTTATTCAAATGGAAAAACAAATATGACTTTAGAACATATTCTTTTGGCTTTTTTCGTTGGTTATGGTCACGGAATTAGATTTATCGCGATATCGATAATGACACAAACCCAAGAGGATCATGATATATTTGGGCGGCAGCATGGTTAGATGAATGGTTATAAGGTTTGATCAAATGAATAACCTTAATTTACATTAAAAGTAACAGGGGTAAAACAAATTTAAATCTTTAAATCTTCTTAAGATCCATAGAGTCTAGAAAGAGAAATGGTATTTGACCTTTTAAAAGGTTAAAATAAAGGGCTATCAACTTCATCCAAATTAAATGACCGATGACCTTGACCCGCTTTCTTGGTCACAAAGGTTATCTTGAGCATCTTGATTCTTTCAAATCATATATTTTTAAAGTTTTAATAATTCAAACAAAATACAATGGATCTCTAAACAATGTTATATCTTCATTAAAGATTCAGTGTCGTGAATTGCTATTATCTGTCACTCTTTTTGAAAATAAATATTGATCTTTCTTATTGGAAATCACTCTAAATCATTATAATCATCACTCCTAGTGTATGAAAATGATATAATTTAGAGTAAAAACTGACCCTGCTTCCTTGAGTTGAAAGATAAAATACATTGTTTCATTCCTTATCAGTCAGCAGTCTGAACTTTTCCCCTTGATGGGACCAGAAACATCTACCAGTATGTAACATCAAAATCCTGGGTACTGAAAAGTTGGTATCTTAAAGATTAGCATATCCTATTGTTTATTGTTCATAATCAAATCTATAGGCATGGTGCAACTACTTCAGCTTTATTTTCATTTTATTTTTTCAATCTTCATCAAACAATTGTAAATGTAAACTTTGTTTTACTTTCTAGGACATTGATGAAACTTTAAGAGAAAGATTGATAGGACTTACTGAAATGTTTCCGGAAAACGTGCGAACTGTCTGTGGGAATGCTGCTACATTTGCCATGGCAGCCTCCAAGGCTAGCTATGGCTTCACTCGCAGTGCTCTGTGGGTGGTAGCATCAGCAGCCACCATCCTTACACTGCCTGTGGTGTTTGAGTCGGAGCGAGCACAACATCAAGAGATGCAACGTGAGCAGGAGAGACAGGTAAAACCAGTTTTCTCATGATGGCAAACTTGGATTATCATTACATAATATAGAATTGTAATTGAAAGGTCATGATGTACAATAAAGAAAGAAATGTAATAATTTTATGTCTTATTCAAAGCTTTACCAACTGATAAATGTTCCATTTTTATTCCCATTTTTAAACATGATTTGCACACAGTCCAAATCAAGCAAACCTTCCATGTACCAAGATATACATGTATATATATAAGCAGAATAATTTTGGTGTTCAAAATACTCACAGTCACATATGGATATGACAATAATGTAATAAAATAAACCATAGCCTGTGGGTGATGGTAAGGTCAGTCAGTACATGTATAACTAAAAATGTTATTGATGTTGTGTCAGGATAACATATATCAGGTGTAAGAATTAATGAATCTCAAAAAGTAGAATATGACATTATTTTGATCACATTGTTGTAAAATTATTTTTGTGAAGTTAAAAAGATTTGTCCAACTTAATATTATGAGAGCCATAAACAGAAACACTGCAACTATCTTGTTAGACCAAAAATTGCTCGGCTACAATAGGAGCACCGAGTCATCATTATATATGATTTATCACAATGAACAAATCTCATCTCTGTACATTAATATATTTACTCTTACATTTTAGATACTTCTTGGACCCAATGCAGCCATGGCTGGTTCTGGTGCCAATCTTTATCCAGGAATGATGCCCCAGATGTCTCCCCCTCCTGGGGCCTCTTAAAATGCCTGCTGCTGGCCCACAAAGTCATTTTGTTGAAGGAGTAACAATTTTGTTACAGGCTGGATTGATGATCAATAGCAAAAAACTTATTTTTTTCATAAAAGTCTTTTTTTCTCTCTATCTCTCTCTTCAATGTTAAAATATTTAAAATAATAGGTTACTCTTCAAGTATTGTGATATTTTGTCCTAGACATATGAAATAATTACTTAGTTTTTATGATAGATTTCAGTGGTTGTCACAACACCACATTCATGAATATAAAGAATTTTTGTAAAACATTGGAATTCCCAGAGTTGTCTTCTGCTGACACTAATTGGTTATTTTACAATTGATATTTATAGACCTTACTATATTTGGTAGCACATTAAGTCAAGGATTCATCTCACATGTGATCGACATAAAAATATACAAAATTTACGACAAAAACAATATCTTACATACCTGTACATGCTTCACGCATACAGAAATTGACATTAATTAAAGTACTTATATCAAGGTTATTGCTTCATATTTCTTGGCTTGTTTATTAATAAAGTTGCAGTTTTCTTGAATAACCTGATGTTAAATGAATATCTCTGTTTCTAATTTCAATATATCCCAAGTGTATGTTAATTACAATTTCATCTTCATTCACAATACAAAATTAAGGTCATAGCTATAAGTAACATGACAGACTCTTTTTTCATTACGATTGGTGTTTATTCATGTAAAAGATAGTTTATAATTGTGATAGATTCTCTTATCAATTTTATTGAAATTATGTCAAGTTAAGTATCCAGGTAGATTGTGTGAACATTTAGAACAAACACAACTTTAACACTGGTAGGTAGGAGGAAATCTCGAACATCGCTTTATCACCAACCAAATATAGTGTCCCCAACAACTTTGGTTTGAAGCAGGAATAAAGAGCAAGAAGAAGATCAACTGTCATATTTTCATAAGTACATAGAAGATGAAAGCTTTGTCTAGATTTTCCTATACAAGCCTTTGTGATGTGTGTATAAACATATTTTTCCTAATCTAAATCTTTTTCAAGTTTGAATTTATCTATAAACAGATTATCTCTTTAAGATATTAATCAATTGTTGTCCAGTAGCTGTTGAATATGTTTTGATCCGGTGATATTTTTCCTTGTCTCTGAAAAAAACCTATGATATATGATGAATGGAGCTAGATAACACATGATAGACTAGGAATGGAGGTAAATAATGAAATGCAAGTTAAAATTTTCAAACAGACAAATCCTCTATATTATTTTTTCATCCTGGAAAGCTGTAAATGTACTTCATTCAATGTTATTATGCATGACATATCCACAATTTGGAGTTAACATATCTAATTCAAGGTCTATTGGTTTCAAAATCTGGATAAATCTATTTGACATCTATTACAGTCTGAAAACATTTCAAGACAAAAATTCAGACTGCAACAACTAGACTGGGGCTACTTCTTCAGCAGTGGGCAGCCTAGTTTTAAAAACACAGGTTGGAATTTATAATTACTTGATCCATATTGATATCGGTAAATATGTTAAGTAACTTTAGACATTTTTCTATCAAAATAAAATTCAGATAATATTGTTTATCCAAAGACTGGGACCAAAATGGGAGACCGATCTATCAAGCTACTCAGTATATACACAACCAACACTTTGGTCCCTGGATATAAGACAAGTCCTGGACAGAATTTGTTGCTTGTTAAGCCAGCCTATTTTAATGATAGTATGTTGAAACATTATTTGCATGTTACTGTGTGAATGGTGTAATGATTTTTGTATGTGTACATGTCCGTGAGTGTATAAATAAAATTTAAAATCTTTAGATATGTTTGTTTGATTTTTTAGCACAACAAGCACTTGTTAGCTATGGTATAGTCAGTCATCTGTCCATACACCAACAT